TCCGTGCTCGTCCCCATCTGGGCTTGCTTATCATCATCATCATCATCATCACCACCATCATCATCATCAGCTGCATCATAACCATCAACATTCTCGTCCTCGTTCTCGTCCTGGTCAGTGTCAGCATCGGCCTCGGCATAGTGTGTGAGCGTCAGTGGCGCATAGACTTCCGCCGCCTCCTCATCATCACCACCAGTACAACACCAACACCATCAGCATCGCCAGTGAAATCTCCCGCAGCATGTGCGTTCAGCATCTTGAGGTTGAGGGAGACGCAAGAGATCAGAAGGAGCTAGGCGTGAGTCTCGCTTTGCGCTGTGGCTCAGGCAGTGGAGCTTCCTGAGTTCGCGCGAAGAGGGGGCTTGCTGCTGTTCGAAGTTTCGGCTCAGATGACCGCGTGCGCTTAGGGGGGAGACTGTCCTCCAGGTCTTTGCCAAGGAAGGACCATTGTCAAGATACTTCCCGAGTAGGACGCTAACCCATATACCATCATATACTATCATATGCTGTCACATACTATCATAAGCTGTAATAAACTATCATAGACTATCATAAGCTATCATAAACTATTATAATCACAAACCACCATAAACTATCACAAACTATCATAGACTATCATAAACTATCATAGACGATCATACACTGTCATTTGGACATCTTATTTTATCTTGACCGTCGGACTCATGTCCTGCTACCACAGAAGCCTCGAGGGCTTGGGGTGTAGGGGTTATGGCAGGGTGTAGGGTTTGGGGTTTAGGGTTTGGGGTTTAGGGTTTAGGGTTTATGGTTTAGGGTTTAGGGTTTGGGGCTTAGGGTTTAGGGCTTAGGGCTTGGGGTTTCTAAGTGCATGCCAGGGGCATTTGATGCTGTGGCCCAGCTTCCAGCGGTCGTGTCACTGGCAGACGTGCGACGAGCGCTGCAAGCCGAGCTCACCGACTTGGTGGAGACTTGCCTAAAGCCTTAAAGGCCTAAAACCCTAAACCCTAAACCCTAAACCCTAAACCCCAAGTCCTAAAGCCTACAAGTTAGTTCACATCTCTAAACCCTTCAAGGCCCTAAGCCCAAAGGCCCCAGGCACTAAACCAAACCCGACGGTTTAGACGAGAACTTAACCGCTGAACTCGCCGGGCTCTTCGGCTTTGAGGTCTAAGGTTTCGGCCTTGGGGTCTAGGGTTTAGGGATTTAGGGTTTAGGGGTTTAGGGTTTAGGGGTCTAGGGTTTCGGGTTTAGGGGTTCGGGTTTAGGGTTGGGGTTTAGGGGTTTTGGGGTTTAGGGTTTCGGGTTGGGGTTTAGGGTTTGGGTTTAGGGTTTTGGAACATAGGCTGAGAGTTTAGGTAAGGGTTTAGGGTTTCGGGTTTAGGGTTTAACGTGTAGGATTCATCATCAACACCCTGGTCACGTCAATGTGCTCTGTGAGTTACGTCGTCATAATCATCATCGTCATCATCAGCATCACCGCCACCACCACCAAAGTCAGGTTAACCCGCGAAAACCATCAAACCCCAAAGCAGCATGAACAAAAACAACCCCACTCCAGCACCCCTGCCACACTCTGAGCCAAAAAACGCCTCAAGCAAGACAGGACCACACCACCACCCTGTCGAAACGATGTATCTACATACATTCATGTTTATATATACATCCATACGTGCTTACATGCTTACTTACTTCCTTATTTACATCCGTACATACTTTGTTAAATTTCCTACTTACTTACTTACTTACTTGCTTACTTACTTGCTTACTTATTTACTTACTTACTTACTTGCTTACTTACTTACTTACTCACTTACTTACTTACTTACTTACTTACTCACTCACTCACTCACTTACTTACTTACTTACTTACTTACTTACTTACTTACTTACTTACTTACTTACTTACTTACTTACTTACGTGTCCACGTCGATAGAAAAATGGGCAGATCGAGAGGTAGGTAGATTGGTACACAGACAGATAGACAGACGAACAGATAGATAGATGGATGGGCGAAACCCATACAAAAGACGAGCCAGAGCCAACCCTAAACTACAAACCCTAAAACCCTAAACCCTAAAACCCTAAAGCCTTAAACCCTAAACCCTAAACTTTAAAACCCCCAAAACCCTAAAACCCTAAAACCCTAAGCCCCCAAAACCCTAAAGCCAGGCAGAGCCGAAACTCGCCACCAGCCTTCTTCAGCGCCTTGGCCGGCGAGGCGGACTTCGTGTTCTGTGTCTTTCTTTTGGGTTTTTGGGGTTTAGGGGTTTTGGGGTTTTGGAGTTTAGGGTTTAGGGGTTTTGGGGTTTAGGGGTTTTGGGGTTTTGGTGTTTTGGGTTTTGGTGTTTTTAGGGTCTTTAGGGTCTTTAGGGCTTTTA